CAGTCGTGGTCTTCAAGCACACCCAATCGTCATCGCCCCCCAGCAGAACCACAGGCCCACTGCTGCATAGCAGCTTCTCGTCTTCCTCGTACAGCTCCGCTTGCACCTGCATGCACTGAACGGAACTCATCTCCAGCATGCATCGGTGGGATGCCTTCAGGGGCGAGCGCTGGCCACCAGGCAAGAAACCAAACAACATTTGGGACTTTCCGAAAATTAGGGTACCTTATTTTGGGATCCTTGTAATAAGGATCTTACTATTTCAGCACTCACTCTGAGGGTACATTAATTAGGGGAAACCCCATTTTAGTCAGCAATGAATGAAGCACAAACACCATCGCCTCGTTGGCAGCTGAAAGGCAGAGGCTGGTCGACGACGAGGGTGTAGCCGCATCCTTGACGTCGCCACAGCCGACAAAGATGCGAAGTAGCACCATGGCAGGTCAAGACCGAAGTGAATGGAGACTTGCACGAGGCACGCATGTTTTGCTTAGGCAGTAGAGTCGATTGAAGGACGTAAAGGGTTCCCACGACAAGCTTCTGCTTATCCTCCGCTTGGCTGGAATCTCATACAGTTTATCCTCCGCTTGGCCTGAATCTCATACAGTAGTGCCGAGTCAAAACCGGGCACTGTGGCATTGCATTCGATGTGCAAGCGGTATCCCCTACCTGTGGTCTACAAGCGCATACTTGCACAAGCAATGGCTGCCGACTGCTTCGTTTTGGATGTTGGGGTCTACGAGGATTTCAACCGGCAGGCACGCCACAGTACATCTTAAGCTTGTTTCTTCGAAAGTGCTTGTGACATGGCGGAGACAAGTAGGCCTTCTAAGAAAAGGTTGCAACCCCTGCCTCGTTCTATCTTGCAGCCGTGGCACGAAGCGGCCCTCACCGTTCAAGATCGCCTGCACAAGGCCGACCAAGGAAGTACTTCCTTGCTACAAACCTCGTCAATGTGAACCGACGAACTCGCATGGCCACCCTTGCTTGGCTTGTCAGAGTCCAGAGAATTGCATGCTCCTGCTAACTGCCGGACGCTGAGCTATTCCAAGGCTGCAGTTGAGGAAAGGGAAGAAATAGCTTTAGCGCGACAGCATCTGCACATCAAGGCAGAGGTGCATACTTCGTCGGCAACCAACACTGGCGATGCGGGCTGATTCATGAGGATGCTGAATAGACTGAGGGGGAATTCGTCCTGTGTGGCGGCATGCGCTACGCCGCTCTTGCACACTGGAGGCATTGGAGGAGCCGGAGGCCGGCGGGAGCGGTCGCTACACGGGCCTGGCCCACTGCCCCTGGGGCGGAGCCGACGAACCGCGCCCCGTCGTTCCAGGCAACCCGGCAACCGTTGGACCAGCATGTAACGCCTCAGGCGGCCAGAGTCCCGGCTTCAAGTGGCCTGCATGGAGTCTCCAATCATAGATTGCGCCAGGTTGCGATGCACAGCGGCATCCCAGAAGCCTGGCGGAAATGAGCGGTCAGGAGTCAGAATGAAGTGTCTTCCACCATACGAAAACTGCCTGTGCTCGATTCCCTTGCTGCACGTGATGCACGCACAGCAGCAGTCTGTGTCCTACCACACCCTTGGCCAGCTTCGGAGAATGTGCTAGCTCGCGGAGTCGCACGATTAAGTGCAGTGAATTCAGTGCGGCCTGTACTGTACCCTGCCAACCCTGCACCGGCAGCGCTTACGCCGCTGGACACTGAGTGCCAGGTATGGTGGAAGAAACCTTGCAGGATGAATCTGTATACCGGCACAAAACCACGAACCCTGGCACCACAGCATGCTCCGACTGCTGTTTCGCGTGGGTTTAACTGCGGCAAGTGGCCGCCAATCGGCTCCAGCAAGGACTCCCTGAATGATGGCCTGCGCAACACAAAATCACTCTTGGACACCCTGTGCATTAAAGATGCTTCCGATCCCTTCGCTGCATGCGGGTGATGCACGCGCCTGCGTTGCCACCAGCTCTGGATGATGTTCAATGACTTGTGGCTTTGCATATCTTTACATGAGCAGGGTCCTGGAACTGGTAGGCCTTGCTGCTATCAGCGCTGAGCCTTCGCGGCGCAAGCCGTCACGGAACCTGAGTGGACGGAAACAGATCATCCTTGCCCCGAGAGATCACCCAGGATGGAGGCGTCGTGTAGACTACTCTGCTACGTTCCCCTTTGTCTCAGACTCACCCCCGACTCACAGTCCGAAGCGACTCTTTGTGACGCAGCATCGGTTCACAGCCCGAAGCGTGCAGAACATGCCCAGCGTGTAGGAGTGCAGGAGCTTTCACTGTTAGCTGGATTGTCCCGGCTGTCTCCTGCAGCTGTGTTCGCTTTGATGAGACGAACACCGCTGCCAGCAAGTCCGTTCGACTGCAGGAAACCATCAAGTGTACTCCTGTGGGTGCCAGTGCTCGACATCGTCACCACACGGTGCTTCGTGACCCTCGGCCTCCGAGTCTCTGTGCGGGATGGCACGTAGACGCCTAGAGACAACTAGACGATTATACCTTGAATCCTGTATGCGCGCTTCACATCATGGCGACCTTCCGTTCTAAATACGACACAAAGAAGTCCTCGTCATCCCAGTCGTTCCGCAGAGGTTGAATCTCGCCCAATGCAGTTTGATATGTCGCCTTAGCCTTCTCGCGCAGTTTTAGCATTTCCAGTGCCGCGCCCCGCGCTTCCAAGGCCAAAGCGGCCTCCTGTGAAAGACCTCCGGCCAAAGCAACTTTCAAGAAGGAGTGCCAGTGTCCTGCAGCTTCAACTGCTCTTTCAGGTTCAGCTCGCCACAAGTATGCTTCAGCCGCATCGCGAGCCACGTCGGCAGCCAGCCAATGTGAGGAATCTTTCGTATGTCGGTACAGGTCCAGTGTGCGCGACATCCAGCATCGGCGGCGCAAGCGGGCTCCTCGCTCTCGCCACACACGCTCTTGCCCAAGGCCAAGCGCAAGTCGTCGCATCCGGGCATCCTCAGCAGCTTCTCGCTCCTTTGGCAAGTCCGCGCGCTCTCGCCACCAGCGACTTTCAATTTTCTGCAACAGTCGACGCATTTTTTTGTAGGTCGGAAGCCTTGAAGGCCAGGCAGCCAGCAGACCTGTCTCGGAGGATGCGCTGAGCGTCCAACTGCCATGTCGGATTTGACGAGTGTCATCACAAAGAGCAGCACAACGCACACAGGCACAGCTGAAGCCCCAAGAGCGCAAGTAGCGCTGTCGACTTCTCACCGGCTGTTTCAAAAGCCCTTCCTCTATGTATGAAATTGTGATCTCCTCCCCTTTGGCGATGGGACGCAAAGCCACGAAGCGGATCCTACACTCCCAGCATGACTCTGGGCGTGATGGTCCTGATGTTACTGAGGCCCGTATAGCTGCATTTGGCGCACAGCTATGATTGACATACGCAACGTGCTCAAACAAGCCTGCCCAGCCAGACGGCAGCCCCGAGCAGCACACCTCAAGGATGAGGAGGAGGCGGCGATTGGTTTCCGTTAGAGAAAGACCTGTGTCTGGCAGCTCCAAGCTCTCTGGGCAGTAGAAGCTCAAGATGTGCTGCTGCACAGCAATTGGAAGATCTGCAAAAGCCTTAATCGCATTCAAGCAGTTGTCTCGTGGAGACCCTCCGCGTTGCCATGCAAATAAAGGCAGCTCGTGCCAGATCACCTCGCCTACGTGGCAATCCCCTGTTGCCACCAGCCGTCGCCCGTTCGGAGAAACATCCAGCCGCAAGAGTCCTTGCTTCGTTGCCGTATGGCTCTTCTGTTTGGATCGCCGGCGTCTGAGTCGACACCTCCGCCCCAGCGCTGCAGTCACCGCAATAGCAGCCACAGTGGGCCGGGTTTGCCCAAGACCTTTGGACCAGCGAGGCTTTAGAGTGCCGTGAAGGACCGGTGTGCCTCCGACTACAGCTCGACATGCTTTTGCTGCTTCCGGTCTCCACTCTCGAAGGCATGAGAACATCGTCAAGTCAACAGGCGGGTTCCCGGAAAACATTGAGGAAAGGCTGCAGCCTACTCCTCTCAGCTTGCCTCGTCACGGAGCATGCTAAACCGACTTACAGCTGTGTCCGGAAGCTGTGCCGAACGTGTTCGAAAAAGTCCAGCTAAAGCCAGGATCACTGTTCCGGTTCCCCTGCATGGACACCGTGATGCTGAGCCTCCGACTCTTCCAATGAAAGCTCCCCGCTGCCATCCCTGAAACCGACATCATGCAGACGGGGGATTCAAGGCCTGCTCCGACCAGTCACAGCGAAAGACAGCAGGCGACGTGCCTGTCCCAGCGCTCAAAGATCTCCTGGATGATCGCCATCTCAGCAAAGCCCTCAGTGTCGCAAGGGAGCCCCGCATTCTGTGCTCGCGCAATGCAGGCAGGTGGCGCGAGGCGCATCGGCGCCGTAGGCTGAAATGTTCCTGACCCAGCAAGGATCAGCTACGTGACCTGTGCAGGCAAGAGTGCTTGCGAGGCACGCATTCCAGCTGCCCCACAGCTCGTCTTGCGACAATGTGCATGTCCTCCCAAGAAGGATGTGTCGAACAAATGGTGCGATCTCCGGTTGCCGGAGCCTGCAGCGCCGCCTCTGTGGGATCACCGCGCGCCCTGGCAGATGCCTTCCAACAAAGGCCTCCTCGAAGGTCAAGGCCGGAGGTGGGAACTCTTTTCTGCGACAATAGGCATGGCTCCGCATGGGTCCCGCCCATCCCACTTCCTGACCCAAGGCTGCGAGCCCCGCTGCCCAGGCGCCCCAGGCGCTGCGCCGGCGCCCCATGGGGCCATGGATCGTAAAACAACCCGACCGCTGTGGATGAGGGCTGCAGCCGCTTGTCTTGCGCTCTTTTGCAATGGTTGATGATGTTGTAGCCTGGTTTTCCATGCGTTTCAGCTCGTTTCAGTGCTTGCAGAAGCTGGAGCCCGAGCGAGCAGATGTGGGCAAACGAAGACCAGCCGACCGAGAATGTGTAAAGGTGGGGACTATGCATGTCATATCATGCCAAAGCGGCGCTATCTCGCCTGGTCGAACGCGGCGGCCGCTGCAGAAGGAAGCTGCCTGACACGAGAGCTTAAGTCGACTGAGAGACTGCAGGAACCGGTTCAAAGTCAACGGAATAGTGACACGAATCCATCGAAGATATCGAAGATCTGGTTCAGAAAACATGAGAGCTACCGGAGAATCTGTTCAGGCTTTGTTTCCTTCTTTGGGCCAATGATGCGGCCAATGGCCCTTCTAAGCCAGCTCCTCCGAAGACGTGGATGGACGCGATGGGCTCACTAAGCGAAGCGTCCCTGCAAAAATCTTCTAGAAGCTGTCCCCTTAGCCGAGGCCGACCCTGGCCCGGCACCTGCCCGACGAGCCCATCCTTCCTAGGAGTTCGCACTACACACTACGCAGGTTCAGCAAGCGCATCATCTGCGGAATACTGGCAGATGTGCGCCATGGAGGTGAAAGCAAGGAAAACCTTTGAAGCGGTGAAGCCGTACTTACCGCGCTCTCCGCCACAAAGGATGTTTTCCGTGACGCTTTGCACGAATTAGCTGAAACCGCCCGAGGCAGAAAGCAACCATCATTGCTCTGCCCTTTCGCACCACCGGCGTCGGATCTCCCCTGCTCTCTCCCTCATATCTGTTGCCCCACGATGTTCTACATCGTAGGCCACCGGTGATGCGTAGAAAAAGCCGGCTCCAGCACACAAACGTTCCACGAGAAACGACGAACGGCACAAAGATGCGCAAAACAGTCCCAGACAGCTTCAATGATGAGTAAGATGCCGGATGGTCTGAAATAGAGTCTCAGCGGGGACAGGAGCAGCTGCGTGCCCACGACACTTACAGTTCCCCAGCTGGTTCTTGCAACACTGCAAAAGCTGCTGGCTGTGGTGGCAATCCTCGATGCAGAGTGTATTGCTCACCGAGGGTTCCTGCAGGCGAAATCCACACTCTCTGAACTCCCGAAGCGACAAAACGAGAGCCTGCTAAGGACTGCACTCCCCGCCTTCGGATTGCACTTTGTAAACTGCTAGGTCACTGTTGGATTGACCCGCCACAAGCAAAATACTGTCATCGTGGATCAACCTCGAAGCGTTGGAGCTTCTGGCATAGCGTAGAAGCTCAGCACCTCTTGGGTAGTTCTGAGTAGGGGGCGTCATACCGCGCGGATACGCGGGAGCCTTGATCTGCTGCATCTCCTGGCATCACCAACGAAACAAGCCAACAACAGCGAATAAACTGTCATCTGGAACGCTATTCCGTCTTGGCTCCTTGAGGTGCCCATTGTCAAGGATACGGAAGGCGGTGACCTGGGTCTTCGGATGTTCAGCAGCTGGAATTAGGCGAACTTTCTCTTCAACAGGTCCATGCATCTTCCTAGACCAAGGACCAGGCAGTGTTGGACGAGGCCTTCGCACCCCGGTTCGAAGCATATAGCGTCTTTCCGGAAGCCAGCATCGTGATCTCGGCGGCTTTGCTGTCTTCGTCTGCTTCTTCCATAGCTATCGGGTTGATCTGTCGAAGGCTCAGCCGGCCATCGTCAAGCTCCTGCGTGCACTGCCAAGCCAGGCTTGCCAAGCCAAGGCTTCAGAACTGTGAATTTGCATGGGCTTTCGCGGGCTTGTTTCTTTGATTGTTGATTGGTGGGTGGTTTGTGTTCTGGTATATGGCGGGGGCAGCGAAATGTAAGGGCAACTTCCGCTGTTCCAGTGGCGGATTACGCGGCACTGTTAATGCATCCGATACACGGAGAGGTCAGGTACCAACCGAGAAGCCTTCTCCTTAGCTGTGGTCTCTACGGGCCAAGCCGGGGACTCCCACAGCTTTGGTTCTTGGATCTCTTGGGCCTGCTATCACTTTGCTTCTGGTACTGTTGCCGCAAGCTGATTTTGTTCCGAGTCTGTTTTTCAGAAATCATTCGGTTTGAGAGTCCCACTTGGGTTGAGAATTCCTCTGAGACACTGAATGCTGAGTTCATACCAGACAAGTCTCGCGCGTGTCTCTGTCTGTGTCCCCTGGCCCTGTCCTTTACGCTCTCACTGAGCCGTTGAGCCGTCCCTGTCCTTTCAAAACCTGAACCATGTCTTGAAACGGTTTGGCTCCCTCCTCTCACCTTCTCAACTCCCGTTGGGACAGTTTGCTCCCGTCTCGCAGTCCCTTTCGAAGGAACTATCAGGAACTTTCAGCCCATTTCGAACTGCTCTGTCGTCTGCTCCAGCCATAAGCTAACAAATACACCTGCATGTGACCGTTACTTGCATCAACATCTACACTGGGCGCTACGAACATACGCAAAGATGCTTTGTCTTGTGCATCTTGTGCGCGCGAAGGGATTAATTGCATGCTTTTACTCACCAATAATTGTGTGTTGCAAGACGTTGGCTGGCAGAACTTCATGTGAGGCATCCGCCGGCTCCTGGTACACAAGGACTGCCCTGCCTTAGCAAGCCAATGCCCGAACTCGAGCGTTGCAGAGAGGACAGGCCTGGACATTTGCCCAGCACCCTTTCAGATAAGCGGCTCATCTCACAGATGACGTACAGGATCGGCAGTGATGGGTGCTCCATTCCGTGCCGCGGACCAGATGCCGGAAGCACCTTCAAAGGCCACCACCACTCTTCGAACAGTCTTTTGAGATGGCGTGCACCGTACCTAAAGTATCCATAACGCCACTGACACTGACGCATGCACAAGTCAAAGCTAGAAACAACTAAGTATCAAGATATCCTATGCAAACTCCCGCAATATCTGCATGCATGCATGCAGTCCATCTGGAATCTAGAGACTTTCCACATCCAGAATTTTCGTGAAACAGATGGACCTGCATCGCTGCATCTGCTTCCAAACCGACATCAAGCAGTAAGTTACTAAACCTGGACAGATATTTCGTTACAGTGTGCACTGCCATGTGGCATCACTTGAATGCAATACCTGCCTACATTACATGCTTCGTTTCTGCTCAGCAACGGATGACGAAGGCCAGCAATGTATCAATTGGCCATCCACACATTAGGTGGCCACGCCATACCATGGGAAAGGAGCATTTTCACATTTGATCTTTGACATCTTAGCAGAGAGTTGTTGCAGCATATCGTTTGCTTCGCGGACTGCTAGTGACAACGTCCCCAAGGCCTCCGTTCGGTACAGCTCTTGCAGCTGGCCGGTGTCAGAGAGCCTCGAGACTTTGGGAGATTTCTTTCTCGCCGAAATCGTGATGAAAAGACTGAATGGGTGCCATGTCTACAATCGCAGCCAGCCCTGGCCGGATAAGGGATCCGAAAACTAGTCGGGCGCACATCCACAAGCAAGACTTACATGATTGTGAGCTACTTGTAGGTGACTGCCCTTGCTGCTTCTCCCAAAATCAAGCTCATCTTGCAAGCAGGGCTCTTGTATGAAAAGATCACGTCCATACCCAGGTCGAATGCATAAACTATGTTGTGCCTAGAGGACATAACCAAGCCATGGGTGTGCGCAGCAAGCTGGCGAGAAGAGTCCACTGAGGACCCCTGATGGGTGGCAATGCTGGTCGGTGTCAGCTGGCAATCTGATTGTATCCTAAAAGCAGTCACGCCAGCGCCCGAAGGATCGTCGTTGGAGTTGTAGTTCGCCACGAGAAGAAACTTTTGATCCAGGCTCGGAATTGCGAAGACCGGTGTTGAGCCACCAGATGGCATGGACTGAATCGGTTCAAAGGCTGTCAACGAAGAGCCCGGGTCTTGCAGCACGCGAATCTGGTGGTTGGCGAGAGCGGCAAACATGCACTTCTGGTCGAGATCATCCGACTCAATGACAGTCAGCCACAGTGGCAGTCCGCCGACGTCAACATGCAACTGAGGATTGGGAACGACGAACCCATTTCTCAGAACCTCAGCTTTCCGGCACGTCCACTCAAAGCACCATTCGGCTCAACGACTTTACCATCGCCAAGAAACGTCGTAAGCGAAGAGCTCACTGGGTGGTTGATTGCTGTCGTGACAAGAGATGTCGTCCTCATCGCAGCCTGCCGAGCCCACATAGACCTTGGCAGTACATGGTGGGACTCCTGTCTGGAGTTGGAACATTGACCTCGAAAGCTGTTGTCTCAACTTGCTAAGCTGCGAATCTACGCAACCCTCTTTTCGCCGGAAGCTACCAGACTGCCAAAGCTCTCGCACGTGCCCTCGAAATCACGAGTACCCTTTCCCGCTCTACGCCGCGATCTGATTCAGATTTCAGTTGCAGCCTGCTGAGACCTGTCAAGTCAAGGGACGATCAGTGATGCCTGGCTCACAGATGTCCACGTCAACAAAAGAAAGGATAGGCGACGCATCGCCGAGACAAACTCAAACAACTCGACGTGAAATGCAGTGTGGCTGAGAACTGCTACTTAAGAGAGAATGGCGGCATCCATAGTTTAGATTCTCGAGGCTAGCAGCTACCACGTCAAAGTAACACCTCTGCTACCTGTAAATGAGCTGGAGGCGGCGGAAGGATATAATAGAGTGTCAACGCTGATGCAACTCGACCATGTGAATGGGGAGCGGAAATAAGAACAACCGCAGCTGCCACACCTCGACGTCGAGCGCCCCTGCTTTGGTGCTGCTGCAGATGCATGCAGATGCCGTCCTAAAGCACCCTGACAGCTTTCACCTGGTCCTCTGCAGGCTGGTGGACCGTCTCGGCTCGGGGATTCCCAGGCCCTGGCCCTGGCAGAGGCTGAGACCAAGAGCTGCTGCTAGGCAAAGTGGGACCTAGCTAGGACCTAGCCCTAGGCAGCTAGAGCCCGCTGCTGTTTTTTCTTTTTTTGTCAGTGGAACCTTCACGTTCAAAGCGGCCTCGAGGCCAGCAAGAACATGAGTCTGTGCGAGAGCAGCCTGGGTCTCCAAACTACCAGGCTTCCTGACGCTCCCGAGACCTCTGATCCAGGGAACGGGCTGTACGACATTGTACGACTGTACGACATGACATGGCACCCCAATTTCTCGAAAGATTGGCTCCTCGGAAGTTGGTGTGCGAATTACGTCAAAACTGCTGCACATGTCAGGCCTCAAGCCCTGAGCAGCGGCAATCTAGTCTAGACATTGCGAGATGTGTCGAGCAGGCGAGTAGCTTTACAGTCTCCACCGTTAGTTCCTCAGTATCTCAGAGGATCTGCGGGCAGAGAAACTGCGCCATGCCCCGAATTACGAAGGCAAGCAATCATGGCACGTTCCGGTCTACACGGAGTGGGACCTTCTGCGAGTCGGTTGGGTAGACGTTTTGAAGTGGACGAAGGTTCTCTCTACTGGAATTGGTGTCGTCGGCAATCGTGTTTGCATCTCGGGATGCTCGTCCTGAGCCAATGCACGCGCATGCCACTCGAAGGAGCAGCAGGGATTGAAACTGCGTGAAGCCAAGTCTCTTCCCCTGCAGTGGAATCACAACCTCGGCTCGCCTCGCTGCCGTCCTTGGCTAACTTTTGATGTTTCCATGGACCTGTCTCTGCCTCTGCCGAAAGCCCGTAAAGATGCGTGTTGAAAGGGGTGCGGAAGCTGGTGCAATACGTTCAATCCAAGCTGCAGAATTAGAGGACATGGCCATGCTTTCATCCGACGCTTGGCTGGTCAGCAGCGCTTGCCTCTTAGCCGCACTGCTTGAGAAAGCTTTGTAATCAGCCCGTCGAAGTGTAGAACAGTGTAGAACTTTGTAGAAGGTGCTGGTTCGCTGCCAAGCGGCCTTTCAAGATCCTTCAGGACTTCTACCGCTTCAGCAAACTCTGCCTTGGTGAGTATGGAGCCCAACTTCTTGTGAAGGCGCTGCCGAATGCGTCGCTTCGAAGAACTGCAAGTCGTCTCCTGACACTACTCAGACATATGACCGTGTCGCCGTGCCGAAGCATCACACTTCTGGCCGAGGCTCTGCCATGGCAGCAACGGCCGCAGCCGTCAGCCTTCCCACGTTGGACTTGCAGAGGCGGATGTGACTTCGGCGCGGCCGCGGCCTTGTGTCAGCCTGCACTGCCTGCACTGCCGTGTGAGAAGCGAAGCACATGATTCCAAAGGAAGTGCCAAAGGCTGGGATGCAGCCTTTTCCAACTCGGTGAATTCGTGCTGTGAGCCCAAGTCAGTTGGCCATCACAGAAGATATCCCTTCTTCATTCCGTTCCTCTTCGTTCGGAAAGAAAACAAGCACAGCAAGTATCCAATTCAGCCTCCCGGGCCTCTGCCGCTGGGTCCACTTAAGCCTCAAAACAAACGCAGCGTGGCAGTCAAGCGTCCACTGTGCTTGTGCCTCTCAGATTGCGACCAGATCCTGCCAGCAACTTCTCCCAGAGATCTCGACTGCAGCAGAGACATGACGTGGGAGGAGCCGAGGAACCACGCATCGGCTAAAACTGAGGAAGCATTGCAAGCCGCACAGGACACTATTTACACTTTACTATCACCGTGCTCGACGCAGGCTTGTCTGCTCCGGCCTTGCCCCAGCAGATGCCTGTGCAATCAAAACCAGCACAGGTCTTCCAAACCTTAACTAATCCTGCAAACTCGCGAGAGGCTGTGCAACACGGCAGCAGGCAGGCACTGACTATGTACTCGCTTCATCGACGACAACGCACCGTCAAAATGCGTGAAGACTCGGCTCTCATCAGCTACTGTACACTGAATCCGATCCGCACCGCCAGAGTGTCGATTATGGCTAACTCTGCAGCAATCTCGCCAAGTCTTGGTGAGCCTTTGCCAAAGCCCATGCTTCTGCGGTATCACCATCACAGTCCTTCAACGAGACATCGGCCCTTGCTCTCAGCAGCTCTTCGCAGGACTCTTTGTCACCAGCGTCTGCGGCAAACATGAGCGGCGTGGCGCCCTGTGACGTAGGGAAATCTACTGCCAAACGCCCTTCCTGGGAGCTCAACAGATTTTGAAGCAGTGCAAAGGCGGGGCCTCTCCTGTGGGCGGACGAGGTGTGACAGCATTGGCATCCCGCGTGGTCCTCTTTCTGCATTGAGGCAGCACCTGCAGCGCCGGCAACGTGCACGACCCAGTGCAGGAAGCCCCATCCGTCTTCACCAAGACAGCACAAATCTGACTGTGGGCCCAGTTCCTGGGCAACCGCAAAGTTGCCTGCCGCAATAGCACGCATGGCTTCCTTTGCGGACTCTGTCCGGTCGCTTCTGTCCAGTATATCTTGGGACCCATCCTCCGGACCCAGCTGCGAGGCCGAAGCCAGCAAAGCCGCCGCTTGCTCCGGCTGGAGCTTCGCCAGATATCTGAGCACTTGCTCCTCCGAAAGCTCGCCTTCCGCAGGAAGTGCCATCGTCCGGCCTCAAGCCGGCTGGGCGCAGCCGTAGTGCACCCAGAATGCTGTGTACTAACAAGCTGTCTGGATTGAAGTCTGTAAGCGCCCTCCGCCTCCAAGAGCTATGGTTTCGACATTACGATCTTCCGAACAAGAGAACGACTGTCCATTGGACATCAAGGACGCTGAAAGCATGTGCGAGATTGCCTGCCTCCTCTTTGCTCGCAAGAAAGGCCGTCGACAAAATACAAGGGGAACTGCTCACCACCTCCTTGGAGCTAACCTCTCAACTGCTATCATGGGCACCAATCAGCTTCCCTTCGTTGACTCTGGGGAGTCTGCTGGGTGAGTTCTAGGTGAGATGCAAAACTCGTGTCGTGCATCGTGCCTCGGCAGTCGGCGCAGCCTGGCAGAAGCTGCACAGAAGCACTGCATGGGGGGTGGGCTCGAGAAGGGTCTTGATAGTTGACTGATGGTTATTGATCCACCTGCTCGGCCCCAATCTCGGATGAAGGGCACTCGCACGGTGAGGACGTGGAGCTCGGCGTTTCCTCAAAAACGCCGACAAGGTCCTCATAGTTAATATCAGTATCTCGAAGTGAACCAGGGCCGAGACCACGACGTGGATGCCAGACATTCGCCGAACCCCTCTGCAAGCTACTCAGTTAACATAGCTTTGGATACGTCGCGACAGCCCTGCGCACCTGGCCCTGGCACAGTGAGCCGAGTCGGCCGTCGGCTTGGTGGCTGAAATGGGACGACCTTTGCCACACACACACACACAAATAACTAAGAACTATAAATATAAATATGATATATACATAAATATATATATATATGTATATATATATATATGTATGTGTGTGTATGTATGCATGCATGCATGTATATATGTGTATATTTGTTTTCTAGACAGATACAAATAAGTATAAGGGCTCAGAAGACTCCCGCGCGGGAGATTGCTGGTAGCCCCAGTTCCCTGTGGAATCGCCCAATGGGAGAGGGAGCTCCTTTTAACAAAGTTTGGCAGATGCCTTCTGTGTGGGCATACCCGCTGGCCGCGGGTATACAGATGCTCTGAAGGTGGATGTTGCATGGCCTACCTTGGATCATTTCTACATTTCTGTAGTTGTGAGCGCGATCAGGGCTGTGAAAACGCGGGTGACCGCCTCTCCGATGCACATGTGCCACCTGCTTGGGAGTTTGAGCATGATGGCCCCCAAGGGAATACATGCCAGGATCTTGTTCACAATGGGCAGGCAAGAGTGGCCTTCCGTGATCTGTGATGTCGAAGGAAACCGCACCCGTCTCTTTGGGCTGGTTGCTGTTGGGACTGGTGAGCAGGAGTTTCTGGCCTCACTCACTTCCATTGCACGTGGCCGATTCTTGTTTCAGCGGCTCTGTGACCTGGATGATCCGACGTGCAATGGAAGTCAGTGGTGTCATAGCTCCACTGAGCATCGATATTGTTGGGATTCCTTTCAGTGACCTGCGGTGCCTCATCTTTGCAGACCAGCAGTGGGACGAGGGACATGCCCGTGCCGACTACAATCTGCAGCTGGCTGCTGCGCTGGATGCCGAGCTTGCAACCAGCATGATCAAGAGTGTCAGTGATGTGCTGGCTAGCAGCTTGGAACATGGAGTGGTAAAGCTTGGAGAGATGAATATGGCGCCATGCCGCTGCACTCACGCAGACGAGACACACCCCCATCAGGATGGAGATCCTGCTTTTCACTGTGGTGGGTTTGGCTCGCACCCGTTTTGAGCCAGTGGTGTTATGGATCCTGTGGGTGCGATCTTTCGGGTGAGCGGGCCATCTACACTGCCTGGCGCTTCTTGTCTTCGACCATGGAGTCACTGCAAGATCCTGCAAGCCTCGTTAACCAGCACAGCCTGGGTGTTGCGTGGTACCTTCGGCTTTTGTTAGACGGGCGGTTTTTCGGTGTGATGGGATGGCTTTTGAGCCTGAAGGTGCGCAGCACCTGCCTCAGGCTGCCGGTTAAATCCCTCACGCACTTCAGGTGAGTGCACACCATGGATGCTTTCCCCATAAGAACGGTTTCATAGTTGTCGAAACAGGCTTCGCGTGTTGAGCCGTGTGTGTACATAGATGTACAAACACCTGCCACACAGACACATTCATCACTCATGCATACTACTGATGTATGCAGGTATGTAGATATGTGTTCATGTGTGCCAATATACCAACTGGCGTTGTGCATTCACAGGTTTGTAGACGAGCACACTGCTCGAAAGGGACTAGAAGGACCTGGTAAACAAGGAGCAACCAGCTCCAAAGACTCTAGAGTCATTCTAGAGACTTCGAGACAAGGAACACCTCTGGAAAGGGGCTAGACGCTCGAACACAAAGGCATTTCAGAAAGAGGAGCAAACCATTGACAGAGAGGAACATGGACATACATAGATAGACATACATTACATGCAGGCACGTCTCTTGGTCGACCGCCGACCTTTTTCCAGGCCGAAACTCCGGGCTCGAATCCCCTATGCACGTAGCCGGTCTTGGAACTGGGTCCGGATTGTGACGGTGTTGAATGGATCGGAGTTCAGTTCCCCGCGCTGGGTGTGGATGGATTCGACTTGGGCTGTGGGGCTGCTTTGTGGTGCTTTGGTCTTAGATGAGTTCTGGTCTTATCATGGCTTGCGCCAAGATGCTGTTTCTAGCTCTGATCTCTGGAGGTTTGCCTGCGATGTGCGAGTTGTAAAACAACAGGCAAGCACGCACTGCTGAACAATAAACAAGCAACTACATAAACGAATCAGTATATGTATATACATACATACATACATACATGCATATGCATATGCATATGCATCTGTACACATGTCTATCTCTGCATTTGTGTAAGAGTGTGTGTGAGTCTATGCATGATTGATTGATGTGTTTATGTATGTAAGTATGTCTAGATGCACACGTGGATATCGGATGGATGGATGCATACCGTGAGGTGTCTGGGTGTTGAGGTATCTGTCTCGGACATCTGCCGCGCGAGGCTTAACGCGCAACTGTCGCATCGGCAATGACCGGCGATGCACTTCCTGCTGGCCGGGCCGAGGCTTGTAAAACCCTAATTCCCCAGACCCGATGGGTCCTAGGATTTGTTTTGCCTCCTGCATGCTATGATCTTAAGGTTTTTCCTTTGAGACTTCACACTGTCCAGGCGTCCAAGCCTTGTTTGAGGCTCCTTGTTTCGAGTATCGTTTGCTCTTTCACACCCTGCGAATCGAGCCTTCGTTTGCTCCAGCATTAGGCCACTCGGGTTGAATGAAGTTATCTGTCGTTTCTGCTTTCGCAGCAACATCTCAGCAGTGCCGAGAATCACAGAGCTCCCACCACTGCAGGAATGAGGCAGGATTGAAAACCAGAAAGATTTTTTTTTTTGCCTCACCCCCCACTCCCCCCCACTCCCCCCCGCCCGGCGACGGATCATCGCAGGAAAAATATAGACATGGTTAGATTCATCCATCCATTTGGCAAGTCTTTATGCGAGATAACTGCCAAACATTCGTTGATGAACTTCTCCCGTTGTCCTGTATAAAGTACAAACATAGATATGTATAAAGTACAAACATAGATATTAATCCGAAATCTCTACGTGAAAATGCTACTATGGGAAGATCAGCTCACTGATTGCTTTAGTCAGTTGTTCAACACGGATCTTTGAAGCTTTCAATATGGGAAAACACGAAAATCACGGCTGTACACTTGAAGCAGCAATCCGATAAAGCAGCAAACCCAATATGCTGGCTTGAGATACGCACTTCGTAAGATAACTGTGTAAGATATCGACATATGTGTGCTTTGCGTTTTCAGGGGGGGTCCCCAATTGTATTGCTTTAGCAGGTGCTTACGGTACAGACCTCTGAACTCAGACCAGTACAATATCAGAAGTTCACAAGACAATTGTAGCATACATGATTGTTTAATGGTCATGATTTGCTAGGTGTAACAGTTTCTACTGTGATGTTACACGAAAGACAACACCAAAGTCGACCAACGCATCCATACATGCATACCCACCTTCCCACCGAGCCGCCGAGATACCTGCCTGCCTGCCTACCTACCTACCTACACATACTTGCATCCATCCATCTGTAATTATACGAATTCGTGCATGGATGCATGCACGCATGCATGCATTCTTTTCTTTCCGACGCGGCACGGAATTCTTGCGAATTACGCTACAGCACACTGCTGCATTACACTACACTACACTACCTGCAAAAATTACTATGCATTACATTGCACCGCATTGCATGGCATTGCATTATATACATGGAAGTACATACACACGTACATACATGCATGCACACATGCATGCATCCCAACCATTACATGCAATGTGTGAATTACAGACATTACATGAACGAATTACCTCACATTGCACGTCTGGCATTACATGACATTACATCGCATTATTGCACACACGTAACATTACACACACGTATGGTACATACAATGCACACAGAACATGCATTACATGACTCACTGCATATACAGCCAAAAGTACAGTACAGGCATTGCACACACTGCACGCAGTACATATATTACATACATTGCATGCAGTACATTACATTACAATCGCGGCATATGGTACATGCATCGCACACATGGCACACATTGCATACACCACATGCTGTGCAAACATTGAATGAATTACATGGCATGACAAAAGTTTTTTAACATTAATTGTTACATTAATCACATACACTACCTACAGTACGTACATTGCGTACATGCCTAACCACACATGCAGTACAACTACATTACAACACACAACATTAACCAACATTACGTTACAGTACATACGATACGTACGGTACATAAAGGGCCTACAGGACACGCAGGACATAGCATGCATCCATACAGATATCCAGGCATGCATACATACAGGCATAAACACATAGATACATATATCTACAAGGAAGGCCTGCATGCATACGTACACACACGCACCGCATATACCACATACAAGTACGTATCGCGGATGGGTGTTGGTGTGTGTGTGTGTGGAAAACCTCTTTGCCAAGGTCTCAATTTTTAATCTGCAGGGGGACACAGCATGTCACTGGGACTGTGTCCAACGAAGCTACCAGTGACATGGGAAGCAAG